CTTAAGACGGTTTTGAAATAAGAACGGACTATGAATATCGCTCTTTATCTCATACTCATGTTCTCTATTAATGACGGACGTATGCGCATATGATGCAAATGTCTTAACTCTTATTTCAGAAACTCTATACGAGAGAAGCTGAGGACTTAATAGAAATAGAGAGAAATAGTCGTGAAGTAGTTCTCTCTTTTTCTAGTAGTGAATTAATTGGTGACAGACTTAAGCCCGATGTTAGCCCTTACAGCCACAAACCTATAGTAACGTTTACTAATGAAATATCTTCATGTGATATCAAAAAGTAACATTTTGATATTAATCAAAGATAATTATTGTTTTGGTGTTTACTCTTCTTCTGGTGTTTACTTAACCATACGTATTCTAAGATAGATTCTTCATATAAAAATTCTGAGAAATTTTCTAAGGTTATAAAATTATATAGAATTTTAAACAATTCTAAAATTTACATAAAAATTTTGGAAAATTATAAGAAAAATTTTAAGAAAAAATTTTCATTAGAATTGTAACATTTTTCTCAGAATTTTTCATATAATTTTTCAGAATTTTTATATATATTTCAGAACTTCTGTATGATACAATCTATTTTTATATTATTCAAGAGACACGGTAGTGTCTCGGCGCTAAGCCAAACGTAACGACACTATCGTGGTTCCTTTACGCGAGACCGCGAGTTATACAGCTTATAACTTACAACTTACTTTTACATTCAAATTAAATTAGTGTACTAATAGCTTTATATACCCATACGCTCTAGTACGTCCATTCAAATTCGCCGTAAAATATATTTTACATACGTTCTAAAAATACGTAATATTCTTTTTAAAATACACAGTTTAAAATTCGTTTTTAATTCTCCTTTTTACTCATTTTGGCTATGTTCCAAATTTACTGCCAGTGTTGAAAATGCTACAGTTTTTATATTTCGTGCATTATAGATTTTTAGTACAGGCAGTCAATTTTGGGACATAGTCCTTCTGTCATTTTCCTATCAGTGGCTAATGTTTCTATCATAAAAACAAATACATATAATGAGGCTCGAAAGAATCTATCAATGAAAAATGTAAAAAAGCTCATCAGAGCCTACATCAGCTATTCGGATGCACAAAAATTCTTTATTTTTCGTGTGAATGTAACAAAACAAATAAAATATACGTTTAACTCTTCAATTCGAATCCTTATCAGTATAATATATACATCGAAACTACATAATTACATAATTAACGCAAATTTCAAGTTGATGATTCCCGACAAATTAGTTCGTTCTTCTTTATCTAAATGCCAAATTACTGTGCGTTTCTAACAAGGGTATTGTCGGAGCCATCTTTCACCGATTTTGATGGGCTTTGGATATATTGTAGAATAAAAAAAAATATTAGACCCATATTTTTTTTTATAAGCGTATCTCAAGATTTAGGAGAGGAAACACTTCGAAAAATATGGATTTTTTTTAGCAAATATTTTTAATATTAAAAAAAAGTGAATATACCATTATAGAACACAAAGTACCATAAAACTTTTATATTAAATATTTTTTTATATATCGCATAGTTTCGAAGATATTTATTAAAAACAAAAAATCCATATTTTTTTGAGGGGGTGTTTCACCCCCTAAATCTTGAGATATACGCTGATAAAAAAAATATGAGTAATATTTTTTTATGTTCTACAACATGTCCAAAGCCCATCAAAATCAGTGAAGGACGACGGTTCCCTTGCAAATTCAAAAAATTAATTCAGCGCGCAATTTCTCAACCTTTCCCTTTTTTTATATGCTCTCTCTTTTTCTCTCTATATGTGTGTACGTACGT